GCTCATCTCATTTGTTTGCTAACGAAGGCAAAACAAGGGCACTGCTGAATCCCCTGGAAAATCCGACTGAGACCCAGGACACCCCCACCCACCTCCCCTTGCCCCCAGAGCCAGAGAATGGCACGGGGAGGTCCTGCCCCCCCGTTATAGGGTTTTCCACCTAAATCCTCCTGGGCTGCCAGGATGGAGCATCTGGCCACATGGCACATCGATGGGCTCTGGGGTGGAGGGGGAGAAGCCAGGGTCCCACCGGCAGCCCTGGGGGGGGGCGGGAGCCAGGAACCCCCCACCTCGGTCTTAAATTAAGAACAGATTCTTAATTTATATCTGCCAGATAGTCTTAATTTTCTTAAATCCCAGACACTTACACCAGAAAGAATAAAAGATGGCTTGGACAAAAATTTACATCACGGATTGTGGGGGCAAAAAAAAAAAAAAAAAATCCCTATAATAGGGGCTTTGTGCTGCTGCGGTCGGTTCTCATTTTGTTATTGGAAAAGCCAAAGGATTATGAAATCCAGCGCATTAAGAAAGCCAGAATATTAGCTAAGCAAACAGCGGCGGGTGCAGGCGGCAGATAACGAGCGGCAGATAACGAGCTTCGCTCCGGCTCTGCTCCCTGGGTGGGAGCCAGACCCAACCGGGCTCCCCCTCCGAGGCAGCAATTTGGGGGGTGAATGGTGGGTACCTACCAGGGCCCCCTCCAAGGCGAAGACCGCGGCGGCGCCAGTGCGCTCTGCGCCTCAAGCGCCGGCGGCGTAAGTTGTCGGTGCGGCGATGCTTGAGGTGGAAGCGCCAGCCGAAGAGCGAGGCGTACTCCCATCCCTCTCCCTCCAGCTCCTCCTGCTTGTGCTGTGGGGCAGGGACACGCCGGGGTTCAGGGGGGGTCCGTCCCACCACCCCACAGCCCCTCTGCAGGTGACATGGTGGGACCATGGCACAGCCAAGGGGCAAAGCCACTTTGGGGGTCTCGAAACCCACCCAAACCTGGGTCCAGCATCTTCAAGCTGTTGTCTGCTATGGTTGTCCCACCTCGTGTCCCCCCCATATGTCTCTTAGCTGGGGACTCAACCCTTCATCCAGCCCCTGGGGTGAACCCCACTTGGAGAAGGGTCTCAGGCGGCTGGGGGTTGCCCGTGCTGAGCAAGGAGGGGGTCCCATCCTGCCCACGCCTGGGTAGCACCAGCATCTCCATCTTCCCAGCCCACCCTCTGCTTTGTCACCACCTCTGATCCCTCCTGGGGACATCACGGCTCTGCCACCATGGGACCCTGGGGCATCGGTCACAAGCCCAAGAAGGTTTTTTCTCCCCTCCTGAAGCTGTGTCACCGTCCTGTGACATTGTTTTCCTTTGATAAAGGGGGTGACAGGCGTTCCCCATGATTTCCACCCACAATTATGGAGAAAAAGCACTGGAAAAGGAGGCAAGTGGCTTGGGAAATATGCTGGGGGGGGAAGAGCAGCAGCGCTGTGGTGGCATTTCCAGTCCAACTGCACCACCTAGAGGGAAGCAGGGCTGGGACAGGGGCCAGGCTGGGGACCTCTGCCAGCTCCAGTTCCCAGAGATGCTTCATGGCACTTGGGGAGGTCCCCATCCCACCCCACAGCCCAACCAAGCACCCCTGGGGGGGTCTGCACCTCTGGGAGATGTTGACCCCCATGGTGGAAACCACACACCACTTTTTGCAGATTTTGATTAAAATCTGCCATAGTTTCAGAACCTGACTGTGCTTTCAGAGATCGGACCAAGAGATACATATTTCCAAGAAAAGTTTAAAATTAAAGTAAAAATATATTGGTCAAAAAGAATCCTATATCTGATACATGTCAAAACACACAGCAGGGCTCTGCAGAAGGTCAAGGACTTCCACCTCTGCATGGAGAGATGGGGATGTGGCCCCCAACCTGCTCTCCCCATCTTCTCCCAGCCCCATCCCACCTTCCTCATGGCCTCCATCTGCGCCAGGTCCCTCCGGCGGAGCCGCACCCAGCGCCGGCGCCGGTTGGTGTGGTACATCTTCTCGGCCGGCACCCAGGCCTTGGGCTTGCGGTCCGGTGGGATGGTGATGCCGTACTCCCAGCCTGGGGGAGAAGGAGACACTGGGGTGAAGGACAGAGAAGAGTCCCCCCACCTTGCCTCCCACCAGGGACCTCTCTTCACGTATCTCCAGCTTGGCTCAACCTGAGTAGCAAAGGTTTGGCCAGATGGAACACACTTGCCCAGTTTGCTGGTCCACGACCCACTCATGCTGCTGCCCAATGGATGCGTCCCTCTGGGGGTGCCCAGGTGACATTTTCACAGTGTCCCACCAGCCCTTGGCTCAAAGTCACCACCTGGGGACTCTCCTCTTTGCAGGCAACCCCCACCCTTGTGCCCATCTCGGATGCTCCCTGGCCTGAGGCTTTCCACTCCTCTTCCACCAGAAGCCAGGTGAGATCTTCTAGAAGAGCCTGGACTGTCTCCAGCAGCAAGGACAGCGCTGCCCTTGGGGCAGCCCACCCCACAGCCCCAGCCTCACCCAAAGCAAGGGGAAGAGGGTCCCCCCAGGGCCTGACCCCCACCTCCTGAAGCCAGTGGGGCAGCTCACGCAGCCGTGAAGGGCACGTTATCACCCCTAGTACTGGATGGGACCGTGGAAGGAAACACCACGATGGGCAGGGGAAAGGGGATTGCCCCAAAACTGCTTCCCGGTACCTTTCTCATCCACAGCTCTGTTGAGGTCAGTGTCCCACTCGATGTCTTCCCATTTCCAGCCCGGAGGACACTCAATCTCATCCTTCGGCAGGACCTTCTCCCCATTCTGCGGGACACAGGGGTGGTTTCAACCAAATGGTGTCCAGCAGACACTGACATCTGCCCTAAGCCCGCCCAGGGCTTCCTGCCACCGCAGTCCGGGGGACAGCTCAGCACCAGGACCCCTGCTTTATCCTCACCACGTCAGTGTAGGCATCGGTCATGTGTATCCACTGGCCCCCGGGCAGCCGGACCTGGTTCTCGAACACCTCCTCCACGAAGCTCAGGTGCCCGGCGTCCACGTCATGCAGCAACCTGCACCCCAGGGAGATGCACGGTGTCAGGGGCTCCTCTCCTGCCCCCCAGCCCTGCATGGGCAGCAGCACAGCCTCGTGTCCCCCTCCTCACATAGACACTCTTCGCCTCCTGAGCTTCTTCCACCCCAGATGGACCAAGCAAAGTTCCCAAAGACCTCAGCAACCCAGCTTGGGTAAAACCCAGAACATGGGCTGTAAGTCCAAGGCAAGAAGATGGCAAAGCTGTGCTGAGCACCCACCATCCCCTCCATGACCCATTGGGATCCCATCTCCAAAGCTCCTCAGCTGGGTGAGCTGGGTGCTGGGACCATTGCGTCCATGGGACGTCACCCCAAGGACATCACCCCAGCGACATCACCCAGCACAAAGATGATGCATTCTTGTTTTAACGCCTTTGCCTACCAAGGATGGGACAGGCAGACGAGGAGCCCCCATGACACCCCAGACCTCCACCCAGCTTTCGGGGTGACCTTGCCACGAATTTAGCATCTGCTCAGGTTTTTGAGGTGCCCACAGCAGCCCACCCAAAGGCAGAAAACCATCACTCACGTCTTCTCCGGGCAGATGAACCAGTCCCCAGCCCAGGTCCAGCCTGTGGAGGGGCGGAAGCTGTCCTTGGGCAGCTTGATCTTGCCGGTGACATCTGAGTACTTGGGGTAGGTCAGGCCAGTCGTGCCCCAGTTCCCCACCAGCGCCAGCTTGGTCTGGTTCTCATACTGGGGGAGCAAAAGCAGAGAGGTTTTGGCACGGGAGACACAAAATCCCATCAATAATCCTTTGGAAATCCCATGAATAATCCCTTCCTTCCTGGAGATCCCCATCCCAAGGACAGACCTCATGGGAAGAGCCTCACCCCCCAGACCAGCCCCTGCCCCATGAGCACCCTAAGATTTCCCCTCCCAGTAGGCAGAAGGAGGTGTGGTGGAAACGTCTCGTGATGTGACCTCACCTGGCACTGTCCCCACCCATGGTCCGACCCACCCCCACCCTTCCATGATGGAAAGAATTAAAAAAAAAAACCCTTTAGGGTGATCCCTGCGAGATGCTCACGGTTTCGGCGAAGACGGAGAGCTTCCCCTCGGCGTACTGGTTAAACTCCTTCTCATCCACCGCCAGCCCCAACCAGAGCTGGACCCGGATCTGCGCCGGGATCCTGGCACCCATCGCCTCCTCCTGGGGGTACTGCCAAAGGCAAAACCCCATTAATACCCCCCAGGAGGATATCAATGGGGGATGCTCAGGATGGGAGTCTGGGGGTAGTGGGTACAAAGCCCCTGTAGCCCCGACCAGGGTAGGTGGGACACGGAGCATCCCTGGGAATTGGGATAACAGCAACAGCGTGCAGAGCCCTTTGGGGATGACCTTGAGGAGGTGCAAAGCCAAGGTCAAGGCTTCTGCATCTGGATGAGACACCCTTCAGGGCTAGGACACCAAACCCAGCCAACACGCTGCAGCAAAAAATAGAAAGAATGAACAGGGAGATGTCTCATTGCCCTTTTTTTCTCTTTTTCAATCACTTTTTTTTCCCCTTCAAGTGATGCTAGTTTTCCATCCAGAGCTCAAGTACAGAAAAAAAAAAAAAAACCAATATATTTTGGTTTGTCTTTTACTGCCAGCTGGGCTTGGGGTTTTGGGGTTTATTCAGTTTATTTTATTTCACTTGATTTTTTTAGAGCTTGTTCAGCAGCGATTGTCTGCTCCCAAGCTGGCACGCAGTGAAAGGCCAAAGAAACAGCCTTAGAGATGTGAGAAGCTTGGTGAGTGCCTGGCAGAGGAGGCCACGGCTTAAATTTCCTGGGGTGGCAGGGGGTCAGGAATTTTGAAAAACATAAAATAACATGAAAATAATTTTTTTTAATTTTTTTTTAAAAAAGAGCACCATCTGGGACAAAGTGGACCCATCTTCACTGCCCTGGAACTTGCAGAAATATGAAGATATTGATGGGGATCTGCTGCAGATCCATGCAAAGAGGAGCTGAACTCCCCCAGCAGCACGACTGGGTTCTCACCATGCAGGAACCAGCTCCAACTGGGTCAAAACTGGGGCTGAGAACTTATGGGTTAACACAGCCCATTGTGTTGGGATTTCAGGTTTCCCTGCACAATTTTCTAGATATTTCTAGATATATTTTTTTTAGGAGAAAAATAGTTTTTTAAATTAATATCAAGCATATCCATCAAAAGGCAAGGTACCTTGAGGAAGATGGTCTGCAGCTTCCCGCAGTTCTTGCCGCAGCAGTTGGAGATGTTCCGGGAGAAGAGGACCTCGTGGGCCGGCACGCGGGCGTACGCCACGCGCTTGTCCCCCTGCAGCATCCAGATCACTACGTCGGGCAGGCTGTTCTGTGGCTGGAAAACACAAATGCCATCATGTTCTGACTGAGGGGCTCCAGACACACACATCAGCCGTGGAGTAACACGGGAGGCTGGAGATCGGCCGTGCCCCAAGTCCCACCACCAACCCAAGCCCATGGGGTGAGACCAGTTGACCCAAAGCCCATCTCAGCAGCTCCAGATCCCATCCCAGTGTCTGCAGGGGCGGGAGAAGCTGGGAGGGGGCACAGCCCCAGTTAGTAGCCCAGGATTTGACCTTGGGTTTAGGATTGAGACCCAAACTGGCCAATGGTCTACTCCGTATCATTCACAGGATGGCCAGTATATAGATGAGGTTCTGCCCAGAAGTACTCTCTCTCCCCCTGGGTCATTCCTCTCTCAGGGTTGTCTCGGTCTCTCGGACACTCAGGCTGTTATCTCTTTTCTGGGATTGTAGTTTCAGGACTTTTCCTCCTTTGGGATCGTTAGCCAGGAACGGGCTGAGCCTCAGTCATCGGGTGGTGAGCAGTGTCACTGTGTATCACCCATTTGCATATATTACTATTGTTATTTTCATTATTATTATTTCCAACATTATTGTAGTTTAGTTATTAAATTGTTCTTATCTCAACCCACGAGTCTCTTTTCCCTTCACCCCTTTAGTTCTCTCCTCCATCCCTGGGAGGTGGTAGGGTGAGCGAGCCGCTGTTGGGTTTTGCCACCAGCCAGGGTCAAACCACAACAAACCCTTGAACAGACTGTCTGCAAGACCAGCATCCTCTCTGCTTCCCACCGCATCATCGGGTGATTGCTCACAACCATCGCACCAAAACAGCACTGCGACAGAAGCCTTGGGAAGAACGAGTTTCCCCCAAAATCAAAAGCAGGTCCTGCAGCGTTACCTCCTCCGCCATGGCCTTCAGCCTGCAGAGCCAGTCCTCCGCCTGCTCCAGAGCCACCGACAAGCTCGAGTCTTCGTGCTTGAGTTTCAGGGCTGCCTTCACAATCTGCTCCAGGTTGGTGCTGCGGAACCGGTACATGTTCTGGTCCAGGTGGGTGCTGGCCGCCTTCCCCAGGACATCGGGCAGGGTCAGGCTGTGGGGACGGGCAGAGAAGTGGAGTTCAGTTTTTCTTTTTTTTTTTTTTTTTTCTTCCTTTTTTTCAGCGAGTTTCCAAAGAATTAACAAGCCACCGAAGAAACACTTGGGGAACACAGCAATGCCAAGAGCAAAGGAGCATCAAACCACCCTTGAGGCCCCCACGCATCACCCCCGGCAGCCGGGACGGAGCCTGGCTGAGCCGCGCACGTCGTGCCACACGCACAGCATACACACATACATATTTTAATACAAAACAATTCAAGCTGCTGGATTAATGTTTCAGGAATCCGGGAAGATGTTCATTTTGCTGAGCCATTTGGAGGATTTTCCTCTAAAACACGGTGATTTACGGAGCTGCCGTTATGAATGCTCTTCTTGCTTCCAGCTCCCGACCCACAGCCCCCCGCCAGCTGTGGCATCCCCTCCTTGGGCTGGGATTGGGGTCTGTAATCCCCAGTTTAATTGCATGATAAATATGAAGAACATCTCTTGCTCGGGATGTGCCACAGGCAGATCCGCACAGTGGTACCTGCCCAGGATGGTGCCGATTGCCTCAGGTTAATAACACAGATTCCTTTAACAAGAGACTTAGGGAGAAATTTAGGGGGAAATTCAGTTCTTTCCTTTTTTTTGAAGAGAACTGCTTTTGCTGCTTTCTCTAAAGAGAGCTGGAGCTCCGTGGGTGTTTCTAATTAGCCCGATCACTCCATAGCATCCTGTGCAAGGAGCTGAATTAAAAGACGGTGTTGGGGCTGCAGCCCCGAGCCCTCCGTGGTTGGATTGATTGCGCTCTGAGCTCCGTTTTGTGCATCCACGCTTCGGTTGGGTATTTACAAGGGAGCTGCGAATGAGCTGAGCTCCCACTCATTTTCCACAGCTTGCTTTGCCATGGGTGCACAGGAAGGATGATGCTCACCTACCCAGCAAAAACCACTTTGGGGCAGAAACGAGGATGTATTTCAATATCCTTGCAGAGAACAGGGGGGAAAAAAGGAAGAAAAAACTAAAACAAAGCTAAATACCCACTGCAGTTGAATTTAACTTCAGAAAGATAAACTACAAACCTATGCAGAAAAGAGGGAAGGTGTTAGAGCTGTGGAAAGGAGCAGCAGAAAGGGTTAAACCCCACAAGCAGCGTGGAAATGGTTTGAAGACACTTTATTCCTGGAGAGGGTTGAATTAAGTTAAATGGTGCTCAGATAGGAAAATGGAAAAGGCCATGGACTCCACCAAATGAAATATAAAAATACCATGAAGTAGTTTTAAAAATTACAAGGAAAAAAAAAAAAAAAAGGAGGAGCCATCCTTAAAAGCCTAAAACCCAAAGGACTGTCCCTGTGCAGGTGGATAAACCACACGAGGAACGTGTGATGCTGAGCCAGAGCCGGGAGCAGCATCTTTCATAGCAAAAAAAAAAAATGGGGGAGCTGGGAGGATGTCAGGGCAGCACGTCTGACTCTTGCACTGGACAAACCAGCAGCAACCACAACCGAGAGGAGGAGCAGGGAGGTGGACAACCCAGACCTGAGGGGGTCACCTGCGGAGGGATGCTGGATCATGACGAGGTGACACCATCCCCTGAAGGACCTGCTGGGGTACTGGTACAACCTGCCCAGGGTCCCCACCAGCCTGTGACGTGGTCCTGCCTCAAGGGCTCTGCCACTCTGGACCACGAAGATGGTCACTTCCTGGGCAAAGAGCTGGTTATATGGCAGGTGGTAAAAGATGGGAGTGTTGAGTTTGTCCGCAGTGACAGAACATTGAGTTTGTCCTCAGTGATGGGTCGTTGAGTTTGTCCAAGGTGATGGGTCCTACACTGGCTGTTACCACCCCAGGCAGAAATTATGAGGAAAGAGCAGAAGGGCTGAACTGAGAACACCGCTGCGCCAGTGATCACACCATCCTTGTGTGGACATTGTGCTTCCAGGTGGAAAAGACGCCACAGAACTGGACAAAGTACCAAGAAGACCAAAAGGATGATCAAAACCACGGAACCTTCTCTGCAGCAGGGGTTCTTCGGCCACCCCCACTTCGCCATGTGCCCAGCTCCAGCAGGGACCAGCAGAGGGGTCGATTCACAGGCAGCTCTGCTCAGAGCAATCCCCTCCCAACAGGAGACAGGCCAGGAGCAGAGGGACAAAACCCACCCTCCAGGTCAGCGCTGCCGCCCACCAGCACGAAGGAGCTGCAGGAGCCACCTGAATCTGGCTGCGATCCAATGTTTCGGGCAGTTGGTTTTGCCACAACTCATCTTTCCCTCACTTTGTCCATTTGTACGATACTTCCAATTCTTTTCTTTTCCAGAGAGCATCTCATCTTCCATCTCTTCATGCAAAGGTCTGGAAAACAGATGTGGGCAAGGCGATGCGGGCAGCATGTCGTTGTTTTCCTACTGGGAAGAGGGGGTGGAGAGACCCCCTCCTGCTGAGACCCTTTCACCAGAAAGGTCCGGACCTGGAGGAGGAGGGAGAAGCACTGGAGAGTGGTGGGGAGTTGTCCCATCTTTCCAAAATCCCAATGGAAAGGAGCTCTGCCCTGGCTGAGCATCCCAAAGGGAGGCACAGACAGGTCCAGCTGCATGGCTTGTTCCCACCAGGACAGCGAGCATCTTGGGGTGTGAAACCCTCCAAAAAACCATCAGGGCTGTTCAAGCTGCCCCCATGGTGGGTATCACCCCAGCCAAGCCCTTGCTGCATCCCGCAGGAGCCGAGCACGGAGTGGGGCCAGCAGCCAGCAGGAACCATCGGCTTGGCACAACCCACGGCCACATTTTTCCCCTCTCCTCCCAGTTAACTGGATTTGTTTTGGAGGGCGAAGCATCTCTGGAAAACCCAAAGCCGTGGCTGATCCCTCAGGTCCCATCCCACGTGCCCGTGGTGGGTCAGATGTCTTTGACCTTTCCAGTGGAGCCAGCGCATGTGGGGGGCGAAACACGTCTCATTTCTGAGGCTCAAAAGCAAATAAATAGGGAGGCTGTAAGTATGAGTGTGTGGTTTTTTTAAGCGTGTCCTCCAGGAGGTCTGTGGAGCAGGTCAGCTCATTCAAGGTCTCCTTACCCGAGGGAAGGATGTGTCCAGTCCCACATGGGTGTCACAGGAGGGTCCGGAGAGGCTGCATCCCCACTCCTGCTCCACCTCCACGACCTCTCCTTGGGCCTTTCAAAGAGCAGAGGGGGTGGAAAGGGGGATCTAGGGCTCAGCACCATCTCCCCAACCTTAGGTGACCAGCACAAGCCCAGGTGGACAGTGTGCATGGTCCTGCAGGCTGGTGGCTCTTGTGGAAGGCGGTGGGGACTGGTCCCAGCAGGTTTGGTGGCCTCAGGGACATCCAAGAAGGCTGAATTCTCCCTCTCTGTTGAGGCAAAGCACAAAGAGCCACCACACAAGCTTGGTGACCACAGAAGTCCACCTGCCGCAGCCACTGGTTGCCACCAACAGGGTGTCCCAAACCAGTACAGGGCTGTTCCTGTGGCTCAGCTGCTCTTCACTGGCCTCCCAAGGCAAAGAAGGTCCAAGAGGCACGGCAGCTCTCTCCATTCCCCTTGTCCAGGGGAAAAACCCACCAACAATCCTACTGCTGCCCTTTCCCGAATTGATGTCATGGAGCTGCTGCAGGAGAGTTGTGTGGTCGGGCATGGGCATGGGATGGGATGGGACTTGGAATCCATGGTCTAAAGACCCCAGTGAGGTCAGTACCCGGAACACCTTCCCAAGGGCTGAGCTTCCTTGGGATAAACCACCACGGCCATACCACAGGGATGCTCCCTGGAGCAGCTCGTCACCTCCTGTCCTGGGTTCAGCTGGGATAATTTTCACAGAAGCTGGGAGGTGGGCATAGCAAAGGGATGTTCATACCATGGTGACATGCCTGGGATATAAGGGGAAGCTAGCCGGGAGAGGGGTGGGGGTTTTGTGCAGCATTTTGGTACGGTGAGCATCTTTCCCTTGTGTGTCATTCTATGATCCTGTTTGTTATTATCTTCCCTTTTTCTCGTGTTGTATTATTAACATTTGTCATTATCTCAACTCACGAGGTTCCACTTTTCTTTTATTCTTCCCCCCATCCTACTGGGAGGGGAAAAGGAGGGGGTAAGGGAGCGACTACATGGCGCACGGTGACTTGCTGTTCAGTCCTTACCCACGACACCTCCACAAAGCACAATCCAGCCCCAAAAAACAGGCTGCATGGAGGGACAGCCCATGGCACCCTGCCAGCCTCCCTTGAATGAACGTCCGAGAAAATCAGAAGCGCTGAGAAAGCAGCAGCAGATGCTGGTGGTGCTGCCCAAGGGGTCGCGGTGATGGCCTTGCCACCCAGCCCTGCAGCATCCCCATCCCCTGGTCCATGTTGGACACACAACACCCATGCTCCACCATCCAGGACCTCTGCGTGGGTGCCTCCTACGCAGCGCACACAAGACTCGACCAGAAAGCCCCATCGGTGGCTCCTCACTCCCCAAACCCGCCGTCTCTCCAGCTGGGCTGGCTCGGGCTCTGGCTCCTGCCCCGACACAATGCCACCCATTGAGGGGAACCACGCTGCAGCCTTTGCACAAAGGCTGGAAATTTATGACTTGCTTTAAATGTCACCTTTTCAACTCCGTGCCTTGGCTCAGCAACCTTTGAAGCAAACGTTAGCAAAATGACGGGCGTTTTTCAGAGAAAAAAAATTTAAAAAGAAATTAAAAAAAAAAAAAAAAGGAAGTCGTGCTTTCCAAGATAAATAAGTCGCAATAAATGGCATGAAAAGGCTCACAGTCAAAACTGGCAGAAAATACCTGCAGTCGGCAACGATGTCATCCATCAGCTGGGCACCCAGCGTGTCCAGCTCACTGGGCAAGCAGTTGGCCTTCAGAGCAAGGTGGATCTTCTCCAGGTTTGCTTCCTGCGTGATAGGTGGGGAAGAGGAGCTGCACAGCAGGGACCCCCCAGCACCCCACTCCACCCCATGTCCAGGACCCTCCCAGCGAGGGCCTGGGGCTGCTCCCTGTGATCAGAAATTCCAGCCTGGGTCCCACCAGGGCTCTGCACCTCTGGTTTTGCTCCTCTTGGAGCTCTGGGGGAAATGACAGTGAAATACAGCAGGAAATCCAATCAAAAGGAAGGTCCCTGCCTCCTGTGCCTACAACAGTAGGCAGGCGGGTGGCATTGTCACCCCAAGGGGGATGAGAGCAGTCCCTTTCCCTCCCTCACTCCACGGGCTGAGCAAGGCACTCCGGACACCGGCAGATTGGGGTCCTCAAACCCCAAACCTGACCCAGCCTGGAGACGTCCTCTGTCCCCTACCTGTCCCCAGGCAGGATGCAGGAAGGATGTGGACAATGCTCCTTGCCATGGTGGCACTCACCAGCCTGTCTGCCGCGTGGTGGAGAAGGTTCTGAGCATCCGTCCGGTAGCTGATATCTTCCCAGTAGGATGACAACACCACCACGGGCTTCACGTTGCCCCAGGGCAGGTAGTAATACTGACAACCTGGAGAGAACAGCACGGCGGGGAGTTTGTGATATGGAATCATCGAATCACGGGATGGTTTGGGTTGGAAGAGACCTTAGAGATCATCCAGTGCCACCCCCTGCCATGGGCAGGGACACCTTCCACCAGCCCAGGTTG